CATTATTGATCACCCTGACAGTATATATACAGGGTATATCACCCACATTGTGATCTCCCTGACGGTATATGCAGGGCTATATCACCCACATTGTGATCACCCTGACAGTATATGCAGGGTATATCACCCTCATTGTGATCTCCCTGACGAGTATATACAGGGTATATCACCCACATTGTGATCACCCTGACAGTATATACAGGGTATATCACCCACATTGTGATCACCCTGACAGTATATACAGGGTACATCACCCACATTGTGATCTCCTATACAGGGCATATCAAGAAATGGTCAAACTATACCCATGGTACCCTGTAGGTCAACCTGTGCCTGCATAGACCCCAAAATCTGGAAACATACATGTATTGGTACTATTTTCCTTAGTGGCCCTAAGCTGGGACCTTTTGCATAGACCTTTCTTTGCATGTCTTTCTGCAGCTATAATCACCATGGAAAGTACTGGTCATGTTGATGCCACCAGCTTTAAATGTGTTATATTTTACAATGAAGAAGCAGCCACTGTCTTCATTTGAAAGCTGATTTTAATTATTACTCAAGAGAGCAAAGAGAATTAGAAACAACCAAAACCTACCTAATTTCGTTTTTGGATGGACTAAAATTTTAGTTGACCATGTTTGTGTGTTAGGTAAATGTGTTGTTTGTGTAACACAAGAGATTATTTCCTACCATTCATATCTGTCAAAAAGTGACAAATCACTCTAAATATAACAAGTCATTAATAATTTTGTTTGTTGTTTAATGCGCTTTCGGCAATATTCCAGCTATATGGCGTGAGTCTGTTAATAATAGAGTCTGGACCAAACAATCCAGTGATCAACATCAAGATCATTGTCCTCCACGAAAATTTTGATACAATGATATGTGTCAACCAAGTCAGCGAGCCTGACCACTAAATCCTGTTAGTCGCCTCTTATGACAAGCAAGGGTTGCTGAAGGTCAGTTCTAACCCGGATCTTCATGGATGTCAGTACTTAAAGATCACTCCCAGCACTGGATTTATTCATTGAAAACAGTGTGACACTGTGAGATGAGTGAGTTAGTGAGTATGGTTTCGCAGCGCTTTTAGCAATATTCCAGCAATATCATGGCGAGGGTAACCAGAAATGGGCTTCACACATTGTACCCATGTGGAGAATCGAACCTGGGTCTTCAGTGTGATGACCGAACGCTGTAACCACTAGTCTACTCAACCACCCCACACTGTGAGATGAAGTAAGATTGTGTGATTTATGTCCATTCAAAGTGCAATGTTGTAGCACAATAGTTTGGCTTGAAATGTTCTTGAGACAGAAAAACACAAAAGCTGTATTGATGTAAATATGTACAATTTTTTCACAAATTTAAGCTAAATTAAATAGTTTGTGAGATAAAATTTAAGATTGGGTCCACCTGCCTCTGTCTGTGGCAATGAAATTCTGACAGTTGCTAATTTGACTCCACATGCTCCAGAGTGATCGTATCCATGACAAAATCTTACTTTCTGCAGCTATAGGGAAATCATGTGTTGATATGCCAAGATTGTATGTGCAGAGAACAAACCCCAGTTTGGTCAATAATCTTCTAATAGCTGTTTCACCTGTAGACTGCCCCAGATGTTGACTTGTTTACAGGGAAATCTTTTGTTTGTTGTTAATTGTCTTGTACAAACTGTAAAATTTGTTAGGAAAACAGCATGAAACAATGTGACCCATTCAGAGATTGTGTAGCGAGTCTACTTGTGTAGGGAACACTGTCCACATCGCGTTTCATACCGAAGGTTTCACTTGCACTTCCTACATACTGGCGGTTCCGTCCCGCTCAGGTCAGCTGGGGACACACAGGAAATGCTAATTTGTTAAAATCTTCATAATCTTGTTAGAGAGCATCGAGTTTGTCAGTGTGGGGATTCTTTCATTAGAAAAGGCAGTCACAGGATTTTTTCGCCAGACATTGGATAATACCTGGATTCATTATGTTAACAAGAAGGTAGGGATGTGTTATAGTTATGATATATTCCTTATGACTACCTATTATGAAGTTGTGGAAATGATACGTGTACGGTTTTATTAAGATTAATGTGATGGCTGAAAGGTTTTAGTTTCAAATAAATAAATCTAAAGGTTATTATTAAATTAACTTCAAGTCCCTTACAAATTGTTCAGGGCCTGCTATTTAATATTCTTACAAAATCTTTTACATAATTTCCCAAAGGTTTTTCTGAAATTGAGTTGGTTGATGCAGGTATTTTGAAATGAGATAACAACAGTCTTTAAATGTACTCAAATTGTCCCCATCCTTCTGCAAAAACAGAAATTTATAATTACTAAATATGAAAAGTTGACACAGAATGACGTCTTTGAAATTTTACATGTCCTTCCTTCGTCAGATACAAAGGAGGATTTATATAAAACGCTCAGGATTTTCAGTGATAAATTCATATAACTTTCATCACAATCGTGCCTTTTTATGCCTGTTCAAATATATTTTGGAGGATAAATGAAACTGACTATGGATGTTATGTATCCAGGGAAATAGATGTTGATGATGCAAATTTTCAGTATTGGACATGTTGGAATATTCGCCTCTGTGAAAAAAATATTATATTTTCAGCTAAATATACTCACACACTAAAATACTGAAGATATTCTTGATGCAAGTGTTGGAGGTTGTCAGAACTTCGTCATCATGGGGACTGGCAGGAATAGCTGAATCAGTTTTCTCATTATCCCAGCATGGATTAAATGTCACATGACTGATTGGGTCAGTTACATGACCAAATTGTAAAAAGTATTCTTTGCCCGACCATTATTGTACCAAGACAAATTCCATCTTTGAATGGCACAAGATTCAAGATAGGTATTCTTGCATAATTGTTCAAGATATTTCTATATTTTTCACATTCAAGTTAAGATTAGATTTGTTTTCAGAGATATTAATATTACATGACCAGTGGTAGTGAACAAACTTGCTTCAAATGTTGACGAAGACATTTTAGAAATGGTAGGACATTACTAGTACACATTCTAGGCTGATGTTTTCTGTGACTAAGTAGTACCTGGTACCATCTACACTGGAATATAGTGACTGTTTGAAATGCTGGTTTGAGTAGCGAGTGCTGAGTATTAGACAATTATATGCTTGTACCTATTACAAGATGATGTTTTCTTTAAAACTAGAATATATTGTACAGACAGAGGAATATGGACTGCCATGTATAATGTTTGTCTTAACGTGTTGAGTTAAATATAACATGGTCCAGAAGTCTTGCGTGGGGAGGTCCTGTATTTTCATCCCCATCTAGTTCTAGAAAGTTGGAAAACTGATCAGGTTGTATTGACAGTCCAAGGTAAGACATATTCACGGTTAATATCAGAGTGAGAGTGAGTTTAGTTTTTGCGCAGCACTCAGCAATATTCCAGCTGCATGGCTGCGGTCTGTAAATAATCGAGTCAGGACCAGACAATCCAGTGATCAACAGCCTGAGCATCAATCTACGCAATTGGGATACACTGACATGCGTCAACCAAGTCAGCAAGCCTTACCACCCGATCCCGTTAGTCAATTCTAACCCGGATCTTCACGGGTGTGTAAATATCAGAAATCCTGATACAGTTCTAACATCAGTATACTGTATCAGTTCTTGATTTATTCAGCGAAAGATCAAAAATAAGTTGGAAATAAATTACTTCACTTGAATTTTAAAAGGTTAAAATAAACATCTGTTATTTCTTGTTATTCGTTTTCAAACTTAGACATCTACTGTATCATGGTTACAGCAGGTTTAACAATAACACAAGCACAAAAACTAAATGTTCACAAATGACTTTCAACAGTTTCATAAATTTTCTTTGTCTCTAGTTCAGAAAGAATTCTTAAATTCAGTCCAAACATTGAGAATCTCTCTCTTGAAGTACAACTTTATTTTCCTTCCAAGGATTAAGGATACTTTAAAGAGTGTGGAACTGTTTATCATCCAATCATCCTGCTATGCTGGGAAATTCTGTCAATGCTTCCTAAACCCTCAACAATCCCACACTCAAGTTTGGCAAGATGGAGCAAGGGTTTTTACACGCTCCAAAACAAAGCTTTTCCCATGCGAAGTCAGATCTCTGAGATTGCGATTAAATAGGCCAAATTGACAAGAGCATGCGGAACTCGTCACAAAAGTCTTGAAGGAGATGTCAGAGAGTGTCTATGTATTGATTGAGACATTAAGTCCATGATTTGTTACGAGTCTAGAATCTGAATTATGCAAGGTTGTTTTGTTACCTGGATGTTTATGTGGACCAGGATCGTGAGAGTCATAGATTTTTTCTCCATATGGAGCACTTATTGACGTCATTACTCATATTTGTCTTCAAGATCAGCAGTCATCAGCCCAAGCCGCAGAACATTGTTTTTCCAATTGCTCAATTAGTGCTGTTAATGCTAATACATGGCATATAGTTCACGTTTTCCATAAAATATCAAAATTAGACATTTTTTCAAGTGTACCTTAGGCCCAAAAATATATGTCCGTTTCCTATTACATGCTATTTAAAAATAGGGTTACATGGGTCGGTTTTATCTTCTCTTTTTTTTACTTTCTTTTTTTTTTTGCACCAGGTGGGCACCTGAGGTCTTCAAGGATACCATATCATGTAGTGACAATGCCTTGTGATGAAACATTGAAAGATTTCTATATCAAATCATTATTCATGTTATTTATTTGCAGGTTTTGTCAGTGAGAGCCAATTATGCCAATTTAATGCAATCCATTTTAGCCCTACATACACTGAAAAACATGAAAACATCATACTCGATTTGGATGAAAATGATGAGTTGAAATGCGCTCCAGTCATGATTTTGACTTGGTCAAAAAAAGATTTAGGGTCGGTTGGGTTACCGGAAACAGACATAATTTTTTTTTTGGCCTTATTTTACGTGTTTTTGTGTGTGATGGATTGGTGCCTGGTGTGGTAGACTAGTAGTTAATGCATTCATTTGTTTTGCTGAAGACCCAGTTTTGATTCACCACAAGGGTACATTGTGTGAAGCCTTCCCTGGTGCACCAGTGAATATCCGGGTTAGAATTGGTCTTCAGTAACCCATGCTTGTCATAAGAGTCGAATAACAGGATCAGGTGGTCAGGCTCGCTGACTTGGTTGACACATATCGTCGTATCCCAATTGCATAGATCGACGCTCATGCTGTTCATCACTGGATTGTCTGGTCCAGACTCGAATATTTACAGACCACCCCCCATATAGCTGGAATATTGCTGAGTGCTTCGTTAAACAACAAACAAACCAAACCTTTTCTGGTCCCCCCTGCTGTTATATTTCTATAGTATTGCTAAAAGCCAACTCACTCACTCACTCACTCACTCACTCACTCACTCACTGTAATAGATAGGGCGGACATGGGGAAATAAAGTCTATAACTGTGTCAAATAATATTCCTTCTTACTGGGTGGCGGGTGTAGTTGTTGATGAATGTTACGAAGGAGAAAATGGTTTTTAGGAGAAAAGCTTGATGTTTGTCTCAGACTTGTGGGAGTTCTTGAGTATTTGACATGTTTGATGCATGGAAATTTAATATCACACTGACAAAATTGAAAAGTTATGACAAGTTTTAGTGATGTTTCTCTTTTTTTTTCAATTTTCCAGTCCCTAGGCAAACATCATATTGATCTAATTTCAAATTTAAATCAAATTTAAAATAGACGCAGTAAGAATTCCTGAAAATGTGTGTGTTTCAGTTCTCTTGTTTGAACCATTGAGTATACAATTATTATTTGTTTATAAGGAAAGACCAAGATAACAGTGATCATGTAGTACAGAGTAACTTGTTTTGTATTTCTTGTTGAATGATGATGCTATCAGCAATATTCCAGCTATATGATCTTGGCCTGTATTAATCGAGTAGGGATCAGATAATCCTATGATTGATATAAATTTTGATCACCGTTTTGATGACGCCGAATCAACATTGTCACTGAGCCAGACTGCCAATCTGTGTAGTCGGGATCCTCGTACAACCATCATAGGTTGCTGGTGATCCATTCTAGCTCCGAATCCTTCATGGAGGCTTTGGTACTACAAAACACTACAGTGTGTCACGGTGACATTGTACAGTATGTCATGGTGACCTTGCTCACAGTGTGTCATGGTGATCATGGTATCTGATGGCTCTTGCTGTCAATCACTTTTTTTAAGGCCCTGATTAGAATATTTACAGCATGCCCTGAAATGACTGGAATATTATTGACAGGCATTACACAAAACTCGTTCACAAACTGATTGAAACCTTGCATGTTTGTCGCCTTAAAATGTGTATCTATTCTATATGTTCAAAGCATCTGCCTAAGTGTTACACAGTGTAGTCTCCTGCAGCCACATGTGAAAAACCCAGATATGCACTGCAGAGATGTTTATATTTGTCATATATCACCAGCCTGACACACTGTTCACTTGCCCTGAGCTATCAGAGGGTAATAATAATACATTACAGGTCGTCCTGACACAAAACCATCTGACCTTTGAGCCTAGAGAGTTAACATGATATATTCCACTCTGTATCTCCTAGTCTGATGAGCACTGCGTGGTTGGAGCAGCAGTTCCCATTAGTGGTGTAACGATTCATCGATAGTATCGATGTTTGCATAAAATCAACTTCTGATAGTGATCACGAGTGCATCGATACAAAACACGTTTAGGCAATATATCAGGATATTTATATCGCGAGGGTCCATGATACATCGATCTATGCATACAAGAGACGATATATCGATACTACTTAAATATTACTTAAAGTTGTAGGGAGTATTGCATAAGTAATAGGAAGGGGAGTCTCTTTTTTTTCTGAATTTTAAAACAAACTGAACCTAAAAGGAATTTGTGTCTGCCATCTTTGTTACATGAACAAAGGAGTTAGTGTGTCAGTGAAAGCATGTGAACAATCTCTGTGAACTGTAAAGACTTGTCTTTAAGTAATTGAAACATGTTTTAGTTGTTTGACAAATAACACCATTTATTAACAACTATGAACGATGTCTTAGCTTTGTTAAGAAAGAGAAGCTAAAATTTAGAAAGCATACTTATGAGTTTTTTGCAGTGATTCTGGTATAAATTACTGTATAAATTGTCTGTGAAAGCATTGGTTCAGAAACACAACCTTCCAAGGGAAACCTAGATCAAGGTATACTGAATATGTTTGATTGTACTTTCTTAAGCATTAAATGCTGAAACTTTATTACATGAACAGCCTTTTAAGTGTGTGTGAATGTAACACCTGTTCTGCTGTATAACAAATAAAGAAGTCATTCAGTCATTTTATCTATCATATATGTCCTGTTTTAGGATTGTAAAGTGTCGGGATAAGTATCATGATATATCGCCATCACTGTATCATTAATGATAATCGTCTACTTATCGTTCCTTGCCAATACTTTCATGATATATCGTCTTAGCCTCATTAAACTTATTTAGTATCAATGGATATATCGCTCATCAACCACTTAGGCCACGATACACACTGCTCGTCATCAACTTTGAGCCATATTGTCAGCAGTGGTTCCACCATCAACTTTGTTTCTTATTGTCAACAGTGGTCATATCATCAACGTTGTTTCTTATTGTCGGCAGTGGTTACACCATCAACTTTGTTTCTTATTGTCAACAGTGGCTGTATCATCAACCTTTCAGTCACATTATCAACACTGCTTATATCATCAACTTTGTTCCTTATTGTCAACAGTGGTCATATCGTCAGTGTTGAACTATACTGACAATGTGCCATGTGAACATCAATGAAAATGCAGAAATGATGTTCAACATTGTTCAATAGAGATGTTATGTTGTCTGTGTGTATGGGGTATTCAGTACACACTGCGACAATCCCACCCTTGTTTGGGGTTAGTCACATGATACATTGTTGGATGACATAACAATGCAACTGTGGTCACATCACAAGTCTCTAATTATAGCTTTCTTCTCGACTGTGCACACATTCTTCTATGTGTGAGATGGAGCTTAAGTCAACTTCAGTGTATGCATGTTATCATACATGTTCCTAAATATTTTATGGCAGTGCCGAAGGGGGGCCTTTCCCATTTGGATATTTTGTTCACTTCCTTTGAGACCTTCACAGCAAAGTCAAGTAGAGTAGAGTGCTCTAGTAAGAGCGCTCTACTCTATTTACTAGGGAGTGCCGTTACTAGTGTTGAGAGGGGTGGGCAAATAGGTAGAGTAGGGTGCCATTAAGAGGTGGGGAATGAGGTGGGTACAATGGGTAGTATAGAGTGCTGTTACTAGTGTTGAGAGGGGTGAGCATATGGGTAGCGTGGGGGCCAATAATAGTGGTCAAGGGGTTGAGCATATGGTAGTGAGGGGGCCAATAATAGTGGTTGAGGGGTTGAGCATATGGGTAGCGTGGGGGCCAATAATAGTGGTCAAGGGGTTGAGCATATGGGTAGCGTGGGGGCCAATAATAGTGGTCAAGGGGTTGAGCATATGGTAGTGAGGGGGCCATTAATAGTGGTCCAGGGGTTGAGCATATGGGGTAGTGAGGGGGCCATTAATAGTGGTCAAGGGTTGAGCATATGGGTAGTGAGGGGCCAATAATAGTGGTCAAGGGGTTGAGCATATGGTAGTGAGGGGCCATTAATAGTGGTGAGGGTTGAGCATATGGGGTAGTGAGGGGCCATTAATAGGGGTTGAGGGGTTGAGCACATGTAGTGAGGGGCCATTAATAGGGGTTGAGGGTTGAGCACATGTAGTGAGGGGCAATTAATAGTGGTCGAGGGTTGAGCATATGGTAGTGAGGGGCCATTAATAGTGGTCGGGGGTTGAGCATATGGTAGTGAGGGGGCCATTAATAAGGGTCGAGGGTTGAGCATATGGGGTAGTGAGGGGGCCATTAATAGTGGTCAAGGGGTTGAGCATATGGTAGTGAGGGGCCATTAATAGTGGTCGAGGGTTGAGCATATGGGTAGTGAGGGACCATTAATAGTGGTTGAGGGGTTGAGCATATGGGTAGTGAGGGGCCATTAATAGTGGTCGAGGGTTGAGCATATGGGGTAGTGAGGGGCCATTAATAGTGGTCAAGGGGTTGAGAATATGGGTAATGAGGGGCCATTAATAGTGGTGAGGGTTGAGCATATGGTAGTGAGGGGCCATTAATAGTGGTGAGGGGTTGAGCATATGGTAGTGAGGGGCCATTAATAAGGGTCGAGGGGTTGAGCATATGGGGTAGTGAGGGGCCATTAATAGTGGTCGAGGGGTTGAGCATATGGTAGTGAGGGGCCATTAATAGTGGTCGAGGGGTTGGCATGTATGGGGTAGTGAGGGGCCATTAATAGTGGTGAGGGTTGAGCATATGGGTAGTGAGGGGGCAATTAATAGTGGTCGAGGGGTTGAGCATATGGGGTAGTGAGGGGGCAATTAATAGTGGTCAAGGGGTTGAGCATATGGTAGTGAGGGGGCCATTAATAGAGGCAGTATGTGGGAAGGGTCTTAGCTCATTCTGAACAGTTGTGAAAATTAGCTGCAACTTCCAAGAATATTATAAGTTGTTCATTGGTCTCGAGGGGGACATGGGCTGATGTACCTTCCATGTTTGTTAATTTTCCCTGAGCCAAGGGCCCCGAGGGACCAGTGAACAATGTATCTATCCAAACACCGCAATGGTAATTTTGAACTGTTTGAAGCACGGGTATCGGATCATAGTATGGAGTACCAGATGACAAGACGACAAGAAAAACAAATTTAGAGTTATCTCCCTTCCATCGATTTGCATTCGCAAAACATCGGTAATTTCCGTACATCATACATGATTCAATGTTATTCGAGATAAAGAATTACTACTACGGAGTACCAAATGAATTCGGCATTCCCAACGGGATACATGGAAAATGTTACTCGCTTGTAAGCGGGGTACATTGAAAATAATAGAAGAGCACTCAGCCAGTCAGAAAACGACATTTATGTGTGAGGCAAGATAATAAAAAATAATCATCAATCAATAGTATATTGAGCGCCGGTCTACTCCCAATTGTGAGACTCCCAGTTATGAGACAGCGGAGTAGGTAATTAACAAAGAAAACACACCATACTCCCCTGTCTGATAGAACGGATTAACCCTAGCTAATTACTGATTTGCTATGTAACTGAATCTTGTGGAGGTAACTTAATGAAACTTTATAAGATAAATTGATTAGCATACTCAGGTAAATGTCTTTAAAAATTAAACATTTTGGGTAGGTAACTACGTGATCATTTGAAAGAGAAATTAATTTACCTACTCAGATTTACTCCGTCTCCGAAACTACAAGCTATTGTTTAAGAAATAACTCTGAAATACAAGGAGTTTACAGTCGAACGGCCTCTTATGCCAAATTTTTTTTACCCGACACAATAAATTTATGGAATGCCCTACCAAATTCCAAAGAGTCATGTAGTCACACAGAATTTAAAATCCTAATTACAAAAACCGAAAACAAGATTTATATTGACCTTAATTCTCGCTCTTGTTTTTGTCACATCGTTCACTGTCGCCTCAGGCTCAGATCTAGCGACCTAAACGCCGATAGGTATAACAGACATTTAATAGACAGTCCATGTTGCTCTTGTCGATATCAGAGTGAAAACGCCCTACACTATTTTCTCACTTGACAAGAACTAATATGTATTTACACTACCCGTTATAACCTGGATACCATTTTGAACGGAAACAAAGAATTTACTCCTTGTGTAAACCAGAAAATAGTTGAATCCGTTCACGATTATATCATCAAGACACAACACTTCAAATTTTCTCAGGAAAATACTTAAATTAACTCAACAACCCTCTAATGATTGATTTATATTCCTACAATAGCTTGTTAGACACACACAACTGTAACTCTCTAATTCTGACTACTTAGAGAATAGTTGTATTTGATGTAATCTGTATATATTTATATGTACTTAAATATATATTTATACAAATGTCAATATCGATGTCGTCAAATCATCCATTTCATTTTGTAAATTATGTTGCATGGGAGCGGTGTTATCATAAGCAGTAATGCTTGTTCACCAATCCCAATTCATTTTCATAAATAATAATAAAATATGTTTAAACCAAAATGACTTTCAAATTTCAGAAATAGTCAATAAAAATGTGTTATCATAATTACATATTCTTCTGAATAAATAAAATATTTAATGAACTATTTCTTCTGTGTAAATAAAATCTTTGATAATCTATTTTATTAATCAACTCATCAATGAACTATGGCTCCTGTGGGTACTCTTCAACGGCTTGTTCCCATTTCGCCTACATCCCATTTCGCCTACACCCTTATCAAAACAAATTTACACTTGAGT